ATCATTATACCAAAATCACTTAGGAGACGGTAATACTGATAGTGATCCCGAGGAAGGAATGGAGAGGATTTAAATGTCACAGTAGAAAGAATGGCAGTGAGTGACATATGCATTAAAAAGTTGCTCGCGTTCATGTAGTAAATGACACGAAAATATTTCGAAAGATGCTTCAATTCTCCTCCAATGCTGACTTTCTCSCTTCCAGAACCAATGGCAAGATGAGATTGTTTGTTCTTATCCATGTTTTGCAAGGGTTGATACGTGGTGGACTTGATGGAGCTCTTTTGGGTCTCCAAGGTTTCCTTATATTCGAGCAACGCATATAACACAAGGGGTAGAAGAAATAGTGGGCTCAAGATTCCCAGTGCGATACGAGGTGAAACGCATACCCATGTTGTCAATCCTGAGAATAAATAATAGGAATTCCGTTAACATTCACGACGTTTAAAAATGGCGCGATATTGTCGCCGACCAGGGCACTGGGGASGAAGCACTAAATCGAGGTCTCATATCAATACATCTGTTACAAAGCGCCATGCTGAAAATTTAGTATGACTTTAGAATATAGCAAAATATTTAGACTAAAACATTACAAGTGGATTAGTTACGAGATGTTTCAAAGTTTTGCATTGGACATTACATACATACGATCTTCGTAGTGATTTTTAGACGTAAGGCCTTTGAGGGCTCGTTTCGATGATTCGTCACTAGGTCTCCCGATATTGGTGAACTACCGCCATTTTTCAAAGTCAAGTCGTGTATAGAGACCACTGGTTCATGCATGTGAGAATCTAGAGAACTCGAGGATTCCGGRTTCCAAGCGCTGCTCCGGATTCCGAAACATTGGATTACAGATTCCAAGCCTTGAGATTCCGTATTCCAAAGAATTTTTGTTTTTAGATTCCAAAATTCTTACTGCATTCTCTGGATTCTCTTACATGGTGYGACACTGGGGACGAGTCGGTTACAGCTACATTGCAATTAAAGTAATCCTACATACACTACTGTACTTCAGAACAACCTGATTAAGRACAATTGAAGGGCGACGCTGACGATAGGGGGTAAATTAGGAGTCAACATTTGCATTGTAAAATGTTTAAAAATAGATTGTTTTAAAACATGGACATCGTCCTCGTAAGTTCGATTTTTGGCGTTTTGTCACTGGACCATTCACAACTGAATGACATATATGACTACGCTGAGATAGTGCATTCACTGTTATGTTCCAGGGACCGCGGATCGGG